CCAAGTTTAGATGTAGATATTAATAGTAAAACTAGAGAATTTGTGTCAGTTTTTCACATCCAATCAAATCGACCAATCGCTGGAAGGATCCTAAGAAAATATCCTGCAGATAATTTACTGGCTTATCAACACTTAGTCCTTGCTCCTAGTAATAATCGAATCCTTCCTCAATATGTAGAACGCTCTATTATTCCTTGTGAAGGTTATGATCTTAACAATCCACAACTTTTGGATGTCCTCAAAAGACCTAGCTTTAAAAAAGGCAGCCCTCCATTGAAATCTGTCACATGTGTGCAGTCTTGTGATCTAGCTCACACTGTTATAATTAAAAAAGCTAAAACTTTACACCCAATCAAAGGTACAAGTATCATGACACAATCACTAAAAGTGATTCTTAATTTTCATAAATACCGATCACTTAGATGATGTTCAATTAGAATACAACAACAACAGTAAATTATTTCTGTACTGCCTTTAGTCTCACCTCCTATAATTCCTATCAACCATATAATCAATGACCTTATTGAACAACCTTTCTACTGACTTAAACTCCAACAACTCTCTACTACCTTCTCTGATGTATTTTTTAATTGTAACAATCCATCTAACATTTACACTGATGGTTCATTAATGGACGTTACAATAATTAATAGTCATATGGGAATTGGTTGGATCTCTCCTGATCTATACAATCATGATCAATGCTCCTTTTCTGCTGCCATTTAACATCATTTATTCTCAACAAGGGCTGAATTATTTGCATTACTGACTGCTTTAATTGTTTGTCCTCTTCCTCATCACCAATAATTTTCTTAGACAGCCAAGCTGTAATTCAAGGATTCCATAGTCTGTTTAATTATGTTAATACGTTCTGTTGAGAAAATTCTGAACTTTACAATTTGGATATTGATCAAACATGTCGTTATCTTTCTCGATCTAAGAGTTTCATTTAGTAAAGTTAAGGGATACTCAAATGATTTCTATAATGATAAAGCAGATTTACTAGCGAAACAAGGATGCCAACTCCCTCCTCTTACATTAAATATTACTTCAACAGAGGATATTAGACTCATGCTATCTTTTAAGGAAGTTTCTATTGAATCCTCCTCTAGAAAATTTTGAACGGATCTTTATGCTGCTTCACAATTTTCTGAATACTTAGAACTAAATAGAAATTGTTTGATCAAACAACAGACTTTAATCAACAAAATATCTTGGCCTTCAACTCTACTCTATTTGGCTAATAATGACAATGGAAATAAATCCTCTACTTCTTTCTTGTAACAGAGTAAAAAGGCCTTCAAAATCAAACTCCTTGCTAAAGAGCTACCCACATTATCAAAATTGGAAATCAGACGTCCAGATTTTTATAAAGGCTGGAATTGTGCTATTTGTAACATTACTCCTGAAACTGCTGATCACTTATGGACTTGCCCCTCTAATAAGGATAAATTGATCAACATATCTGCGGAACTCATGGATTTTGCTGATGACCTACTTCTTTCTAAAATTCATAATAATAGATTACACTCTTACCTCTCGATCAAACAACAATTTTTGGAATTATTTAACTTTACCTCAAATCCCATCAAATTTATTCAATTGGTGAAAGGTTTTGTTCTCAGATCTTTAGTTATTTACCTTAGATCTATCTTTTCCCAATCAATTGTGGACCAGATATTGGTTTCCATTTGAATAAATTAAATGACTCTATCTATGAATTGATTTGGATTCCTCTTTGCAAAGCTATGGTCAGTAAAGAACAATCTCTTAATATTGGAGCTAAATAGAAGAAAAAGAAAGTAAAGTATAAAGTCAATGGCCAACCTCCTTCTAAACTGAGAAAGTCTTCGGTTGATTATTGGAAACTTGGTTATATTTAGCTCTCAATTTTGGTTATTCCTAGTGAAACTTCTTGGGACGGTGCTGACATGTTCATTTAGATTTTCATCATGTGTATCCTTCTCAAGAATTTTCTTTAGGAGGGTACTGAGGGAGAATTTTGGTGATTGGTCGATCCAAACAGGTTTGAAATAGAACTACAAGGGATAGTTAGTCTTTATTTTTTGTATTTATATTTTTATTTTTAAATTAGTTATTATCGTATAATTTATTAATAAAGTACTGAAAGTATTACATCTTTAAAAAAAAAATATATATTTCGATTAGTGCTACTTTCACTGCAGCTAGTTCTTATCATGTAATAAAATTGTAAATTTTATAAAAAAGAAAAGTTGGTTAATGTTTTATAAAAGAAAGGATGAAGAGATGATTTTATAAGAAAAGAAGATGATTTTATAAAGAAAAAAAAGGATAAAAAGTTGATGTATTATATAAAAGAAAAAAAAATGATGTAATTAATTCGGTTGATTCAATAACCATATCTAACAATGTATATTGTTGATCAAAATAAGTTAGTTAAATATCACAATATAAAGAAGAGATTTAAAATCATTATTTGAAATCATACTTCACGCAAACTTTCAAGTTTCACCATTTATTATCTTAAAAATGTCATTATATAATACATTAAATAGAAAAAAAACTCTGGCTCATGAAAATAGTAGAATATTTCAATACAAATACTGTCTGCGAATATTTAGTAGATGTGATGCTTTTCGAAATTATCTTCAGACACATCGAGACCAGATGTACTTGGATGAAAATGAACTAACACTCGAGAAAAATACAAATGAGCTGAGAAGAACTGTTATTAACAATACTCTTCAAAGAATTGTTCTCTCACCTATTTTATTTAATGATACCATAAGCCAGTTCGAAAAACAGCCTTTGGATATAAATGATGAATGCGAAGAACAATGTTGGATTAAGAATGATGAGAATTTTTATGTAATATATTTAAATGAAATAAATGTTGCACAACTATACAAATTTATTTTTTCACATTTTGTACTATAGAACGTGCTGATTCTCGACAAAAATAGTGAAAGTGAAACGAACAATGATGAAGAAGAAGGAAACGATGAAATAGATGTGATAAATGTTGGAAATAAAGAACAAAACTATACTTTATTAGTCTCACAGATAAAAGTTCATTTATTTCAACTGTTATTGATGTTAGATCAGCCCAAAAATTTCAGGGTGCAAATAATGCAGCACCATCAAGCGTACAAAGCATTTGTACAGTTACTTGTCAAACATCACCTTTCTGATTCTGTGGCAAATGATATTATTGGCTTATTCAATAACTTTTACATGGATCCAATGACCACATTACCTTCAAATGCAAAAGCAGCCTGAAAACTATTAGATTCGATGCAGATCCCCTATGTTCTATATAAAAATCAATTATGATAGAATACGGTCAAATTCAGTATGCACTGCACTATCAAACAATTTTCAATGCTATTAAAGAGTTGCTATGTAATAAAGAAATACTCAAACATTGTATATTTGATTATACACCAAATTATACAATAAATGATAATGGTGAAGAAGAAAAATATTACGGGAAGCAATATAATTGTGAGTGGTAGTATCATATACAAGCATTAATTAATAGGGGCGCTAAAATACTTTCTGTTATTCTTTATTCTGATGTGATAATATGTGACACACTTGAAAAGACATTGGAGTATTCCGTATTTTTAACTCTAGGTAATATACCATTTTAGCGTCGCAATAAATCAGATACCAAAGTTTTACTAGCATATTTACCTAAAATCAAAGCATATGATGAACAAAAAAGGCAACATGATTTTGCCTTGGCGAAGCATTACCTTTTTCATCGTTCATTAGAGATCCTTATTGAGCCAATCAAATCAAACTCAACTGGAGTTTTGATTTACACACTGATAATGGTATAATATGATGTTATCCAGTTTTATCTATTTTACTTGGAGACTTACCTGAACAGCATGCTATAACATTAACATATAATTCTGCTAATTACAATATGCTGTATCATGCATACATAACACCGAAAGACGAATTTAATAACCCATTAATTGATCACTTAGAAATTCAACTACGTATACTCACAATGATGCAATATATATTACAAGAGGACCTTGCTGCAGAATATTCATTGCAGAATATTAAAAACCCGTTCTGGAAATTACAGTAAGTGTTTCATTTAATGCAATTACTAATAGATAATATAATTAATGTAATTATTTTAGTCAATTTAATGTATATTAAGCGTGCCTATCAGACAGGATGCATTATCTAGATCTTGGCTTATACAAGTATCAAGTTGAATTTATATGAGATTTGCTAAAAGATTGGTGTGATACAAATGGTGTAATTGAATTTGATAATCATTTGGGAAAGATATCTCGCTTTTCAGGCCTTAAATTATTCAAACATGGCTTAGGTAATATTAAACGATTCACAGCAGCAGAATTTCAGGCAATGATGTACCAACTTGTATTTGTTGTTATTGGAATTATCATTTCATTACATAATTCTGATTATATTACAAACCAAGCAAAGAGCATAGATAAAAAATTGGTTTAGTTATATGTTGATTGGAACAAGATGTACATTTTTTTCCGTAAAGATGAATTTACAGAATCAGATTTAAAAACATTCAAGGTAAATTCAATGTATATCAATATGTATATTTGTATGCGTTGTATAATGCATATCATGTCAAATAACATTTAATCTAATTTATAGTCACTCATAATTGAATAGGCTAAAAGATTCATAAAATTACTATTATCATACTCACCATCACAATTGCAATTACCAAAATTGCATAATTGGATTTATCATACTATTACGGTAAATACTGAATATGGTGTAATTAACAACTTTACGACAAAAACTTATGAATCCTTGCATAAGAAATTTGTAAAAAATTCTTACAGAATGAGTAATAAACGTGATGCAATAACACAAATGTTAAATACTGTAAGTAAAATCAAATTATTATGATATTACATTACTAATAATATTAAAGTAATATTTATTAATAATTAAGGTGCAATGACAAAGTACAATTAAATATTTGCTTCAATTTTCTAAACTGACTGCTAAAAATGTCAAACGTAATCTTGCATCAACAATGAACAGTGAAATTGCTACCTTCAAATTATCACAATTTGATGAATTTGTTAAATTCTATAAATCTACTAATAATCTGCCATTGGAAGCATTAAAAGCATTCAATTGATTCTTATCAGCATTGGATAGATTTTTTGATTTTTATGAAGAACTAACAGAAAATGAAATAAACAACAAAGATGTGCTCGTGAAATGATATAAATCTGCTATAATATCTAGCGGTGACATGATTAAAGCGATCTTTGAATGGTATAATCAAGCAATTTTTGATAATATTTCAATCAATATGTGTAGTGATAAAATTGAAGATTATATTACAAATAACAGAATGTGTTTTGGAAAAGTTAATATTGATTTTTTTTTAATATTTAATAATAATTATAATTATATACTTTAATTGTTCTTATATTTTAATATTTAAA